CCCCCCCCCCCATAAGTAGTCATATATTATACCTCTATGAGATATACAGCAAAAATGCAAGTTTAAAAAAGTTATTTAAAAGAAAATATACGTATTTAGAATTTCTAATATTTTTTTTTGTAGTAGTAGACTTAAGAAGACATTTGTCCAAGTACGCATTTTTACCCTAGTAGCATATTTCATTGGTACTTTGGTTAAATATTAGTTATGATGGCATGCGTTGAAAACAGATTGACCAATATTGCCCAATATAAGATCAATTTTTATTAGGGCTCAACATCTATGTTAATGAGCATATCCTCTATGTGAAGAGAACCATCTATTGTACAATGAAGTTTAAATATATAGATATATAGATTTTGAACTGTTCTAGTTCGTTTATTAATACGATCCCTGTTTATACTTAAATAAATAAGAACTTTATAGGGTCCTCTACATAGAAGTTGTTGGTCGTGGAATCTTAAGTCGTAGGAAACTGATTAATTCTAATCGAGTATTCTTCTTATATTTGATTGTGATTGGTTGATTTCCTACGATTTAAGACTCCACGACCGTCTACGACTTCTATGTAGAGGACCCTTAAGTCATTACATGGCGCAGTCATAGTAAATAAAACGAGGAAACGTGCTACATTGTAATAGTGATATAAAAAAATTGACGTTATACAACCTATAAGTCAAATCTTTCAATCTTGTACTCGACTTGAGTCTGAACATATTTGGTCATTTTAATTTAGACACAGAATATATTCAGAATAACGCATTTTTTTGAGAAAAGTGTTTCAAATAAAAGTTATAGGGTCTGAAGAGGCCTAACATGTTCCGGCTCAAGTTGGAATCCATACAAAATCCGTACAGAATCCATAGAATCCTAAGATTTTACCATCTGTTGCGCCTGCGCCTTCGTGTTCCGTATTCGAGTGCTTCGTCAGCTGAATTATGAGGTAAAGTCGATTGAGATGGCAAAATGAAGATTAATCGAGAGAGGGTGGAGAGGGAGAGAGAGGGGGAGAGGAGAGAGGGGGGGATTCGTTGAGTAGAAAACTGTCTTTGACAGATTGTACCGATTATACATTTCCTTTTATAGAAGCAATATTTGTTCATTATATAAGTATGCGCAAATATCACGAAAGTATGCGTGTCTTCTGCAAAGTTAGGATTCACGCAACAGACGCAATATTTTGGAGGCTCGTCGGCGTTTTCTTGAGAAGACACATGAAATGAACGTCGTGGCGACGTCAGCTAATCTCTCTGATTTGGTAAGGTCTCCCAGGACGAGTGCGGGCGCTGCATTCAGAGATGATCTCGCTGCAAGCCATCGCAGATGAATTGTGATAGCAGAAAAAAGAGCGACTGTAACAGCAGTTTCGAGAGGCAGAAATACGATCCCAGTTTTAGGAGAAAGATTCCGTGCTGCTTCTCCTTGAGGATCAGCTCGCATGATTATCTGGCTTGTCACCTCCTTTAACTGGTTTTAAGAGTGAGGCCCGATTGCGCACCATAACGATCGGACACGACAGTACTTCTCAATCGGACATGGATTCAAACTGACATGGTCTCGATCGGACACGGACTCGATCGGATACAGTCCCAATTGGACACGTACTCGATCGCACTCAATAATGATTGGATATATAACGTTGCAATCGGACACAGACTCGATCGTATATGGACTGGGTGCACGTGACTGAGTCCCTGTGCAATCGGATCTTGCGCAATCATGTCGTGCAGAACCGAGTCAGTGCGCAATCGGGTCTGTGCACAACTTGGTCCGTGCGCAATCGAGTTTTGTACATTCGGGTCAGTGCATAATCGGGTCGCTACGCAATTGGGTCCCTGTGCAATCAGGTCCATGTGCAATTGAGTCTGTGTTCGATTGCAACGTTATGTGTCTGATTATTATTGAGTGTGATCGGCAGCTTTTTTTATCATTTACTGATAAAAAAGCTGCGCAACGATGTTATGATAATAATAATAAAACTTGCGTTGAGAGTTAAAGTACCATTCCATATAGCTAATAAAAGCTGACATTTTACTCCCACTCCATCAATTTTCGTATATAGTACAGTTACGCTCAAAGTTCAATATTGTTCAACTAATGGCGAACATCGCTGAAATATATGTCATGTTCATGGAATCGTATGTCTTCCAAGATTAATTTTAGGAGCACAGTAAAGAAAAAACCATGTTCATTGCGATTTTCGGAAATGGATGCTGTCCAGTATTTCTCCTTTTTTAATAATTATATATTAGCAATTGTAGCGTCGCCTCCGTATATCTGCTGCAGCTGTAGCTGCTACTATACGGTTATATTCTTTTATATACTCAATGTATTCTTATTTTCGTAATCCATTTTTATTAAAATGAATTAAAAGTTAGCAAAAATAAATGTATTTGTTAAAGTTAACGAAGATACATTCCATGAAGAGGAAGCAGGAGAAGAGCAAACAGCTTTTGAATGCTGCTTTGATTGTGGTGAAGTGGGGGTAAAAAGCCAGGTTTCCTTCGCTGCATGAAATTGCACCTTTACAGAATAGCCCTGCGGGTCCGTGTCCGATTCGAAAATACTGTCGTGTCCAATTGTTATTGTCGCAATCGGGACAGTCTTGTTTTTAAGGTATTTCTCCGGCTACAATCGCGCTAGAAAGTTAATCACGTACAACCTACGAATATGCCTCTCCACGCGTGCTCTTTGAAGAAAGAAACTTTTGAGGCGAGCGTACACACACGCGCATGATGTATCTGTGTGCACGAACACTAGTCTGCACTGAAGACAGTTGAAATGTGACAACAGTATGTCCTGGTCTCGCCGCTCGGTGTGCGAGAAGAAGAATTTTATCAAATTACAAATTTAAACTATTCTAATTCAGAAACGGCACCGCTAGGCCTCCCTATTTTTTAAATAAGATTCCTATAATATTTCTACATTACGTATTTATTTATTTTTTAATTTGTAAAAGATTTTCGTCGCAAAGTATTAAAATGTTACTTTGGCAAGGCTTGATATAGGAGTTTACATGTTAAAAGTCGAAACTTTAAAGGTAAATATCTCCATTTTGGCACTGCTAGTGTGGTAGGTTTGAAATTTTAACTATATAGAGATAAAATTATTTTAAACATAACATCTAAATTTCAAAAAAATCTGTAGAAACTCAATTTCTCGGAGAAATACCTTAATGTCGCGAAGGTCTCCGTGGATGATTATCATGACGAGGAAATGGGTTATAAACTTAAGTCCGATGTATTATAGAACCATCTCTCGCTCCATGAATTTTGAGCGTAGTTTATTCTAACCGTTCAAATAAATAATTGGAATGATTCCATGAAGGTCGTGGCTCTTGCCTGTAATTTAAGAGGGAAGACGCTATCTAAACGGTTCTAAACGGAATTACGGAATTTGAGAGTCTGAGTTATTTTTAGAAGTAAGACTCGCGTTACGTTTCGGAGAGGGATATATGACTTTGTCTATTTACATACAATTTACGAATCGTAAACAGAAATTTGAGAGGATTTGTCCTCCCTTGACGTATCACCTTGAGCGTTTGTCTCGTCTAACTTACCCGGAAGGCTCTTTCAAAGTGCGAGACTGTTGATTTAAATAGATTAATAATATTTGGCTTGTTGTATTGAGTTTGCTTTTACATTTTAAATTAATCATTAGATTTTATTTCTTGCTAACTTTTGCTTACCGTGTATATTTGGCAATATATTATGGCTTGATATACATACATATACTTTTGTTTTTGCGTTTTCTTCTTGCTCTTATATGTGTGTTCTGAGAAAAGTGTCATAATTAATTGTATTGATTAAATAAACAAAAGGCTATTAATATTAATGAAAGTGGTCTTTATTTTCGACTAAATAACAAGGTCAATCGCAAGACTGCTGTTTTTTTTTTTGAGAAGCAACGTGACGCCTTTGTTTTTGAGGTTTTAAGCCTTTTCTTTTTTTGTAATCGAGACTATAAAGGAAAAATGGTCAAGTTGAAAAGTTTCAACACTCAAAAATTTGATGGTAAAAACTTCCAGCTGTGGAAGTATCAACTGGAAATAATTTTTCGAGCAGAAGGAATTCTCAGTATCAATGATGGCACAACACCTTGATCAACAGAACAGAATAATGATCAAACAGCCTGGGATGAAAAGAATGCTCATAATTTCAACTGTGATGGAATTTAATCAGCTACAAGCTTTCATGGCTCATGCCAGTGCTGCAAATACGTGGATACGACTCAAAGCAATTCACGAGTAACGGTTAGCAGTAAATAAAATCATTCTTAAATAATAATTTTTTAATAAAAATTGTTCTTAAATAACAATTTTTCAGTTATAAAATGTCTGCACAAAAAAAACAGATACAGCACATCAGTAAGGTGGAATTATTGGCGCAAGCTCCAGCTGACGTTGGTGAGCCAGTAGGAGATGTCGACAAAGTTGCCAAAATTTTAGGCGGACTTCCAGCAAAAGGAGGGAATGTAAAAATGGCCTAAATTGGCCCTGAATGGATACCTTTAAAACCTATGCAGTTGTCATTTTAGAAGTTCATACATTCATGAAAAAATGCTTATTTATCCAGGAAAGCTTGGGAAACCTTCTAAAAATAATAAAATAGGTCGTTTAAACGCTCTGCAAAGAAATTCATTTTGTTTCTAATAAACGATGGATTTCAAAATTAATGGTTTGTTTACATCTAACACAAGTTGGATCATGAAATATAAGAATACTAGGAAGATCGCTACATATACAGGGTCCGTTTTAATCTATCGATGCGAATATCTCGAAAAGTACGCATCTGATTGAAAAGTTGTAAAGGGAAAATTTGTTTGTTTAGATGGGGGACATCCAATGACACCGAACTCGACCCCCCACCCCCATTGATGATACAAAAAAATGTTTCAAATGGAAGTGTAACGTTTTCAAGGGGGACGTATTTTGGTTATATTGTTTTTTTTTAGGTGGAGGTGTCAGAATGATATAAAGGTCACCTCTACTTTTTTAAATGGAAATATATGATTTTTTTACACAATATGATTCCTCTAATTATTCTGCATGTAAAAGTATTAAGGTAGTGATATAAAAAAATCAATAGTTTACGAGATATTTTACACTTTATTCTGGTACATATTAACACATATATCTGTTCTTATCTAATTTATGCCAGCAACATCTATCGCAAGACCGCGCAACTACTGCTACATGGAATTTCGGCTCTGTTAACAGTCCCAGTCTTCGCAAAGCACCTGTATACACGTATTTTCTATTCGGTGGCGATACTTTTTTTCTAGACTTTCAATCTTAGTTCTACAAACTCGGTATCGTTTCAATAATGTGATCTCAGCTGCACGCTTATTTTCAAGATATGGACTCTAAAACTGTTATATCAAGCAAATATACCTATATTTGAGGTGACAGCTGTACGAGCCAAAAGTAAGTGAATTTTTAACGAATTAAAAATTTTTTTTTATTTTTTTATGAAATTCATTGCAGTTGAGGTTTGTACGTACTTTAATTTATGTAATAATACTTTTGCAATCCGTACATACAATACGGAGATTTTTCACCGAATGGAAATGTGGGTAAAACAGGAGGCTTTAGCATCACCTTAATATTCACAAATGCCTGGAAATATAATCAACTAACTCTCGAAGTGCTTTTGTGGATTCTTTTACAGTCAGCATCGCGAATAATGAATGAAAAAAAATTGAATGTATTCCTTGTTAAGTGACTCGTCATTGACCTTTGCTGCGAGGTATTAGCGACTACTTTTGCCCGGCAAACGGATATTCTAGATCGCGTGGCGAATGTCGTAAGGCCAGTTAACGTAGGCACTAAAGTCAAATTACCTACTATCAAACTTCCGCATTTCAAGATTGAAGAGTGGAAATACTTTTCGGATAACTTGTCGCTAATACCTCGTTTTCTTTCGACTGTGTCATGGCGGCCGAAGCATCGCCCTGAACTTATGTATCATAGCTGTTGCATCAGTTCGGTTTGTAATTATAACAATTTTGTGATTACATTGGTATTCTGCAGTGCAGTGTCTTCTTTGGACGTCTGCTCGATAAATCGTTTTAATATAGTTTTTACCGCAAAATATCTTTTAACGAAGGTATTTCCGTGTGTTCCTCCTCCATTGTACCTTCTGCGAAAATCTCACCCGATTTCTTTAGTAATTGTCTTTGAATGGTCTCAAACTTGCGATATGCTTTTTCCAGTTTTTTAAATCTCGCTTTGACTTGCTCTTTGTCAAATTCAATGCCAGTCTCACTGCTGTTTCTATTGATTCCAACTCGTTCTCAATCTGATTAATTTAGCCTTTGTATAGCCTCGTGTCTTGAGTAGATCGGGAATCTTCGATTAACCCTATTATCACACTCTCAGAATTAACCAGAGTCGCTCGTAGTTTGAGTAAGATCAATACTAGATCTGAACGTTATCTGCACGTGGAATCCGGATCGAAGAACCAATGTTTGGGATGACAAAAGAAAACTGTTACTAGCTAATACAAATGTCGTCTTTATTGTTGATTCGTTCTTACAATCAACTCAACTCAGTTACAGAAACGTACTGAGCTCTCTTTGTTCGCTTCGTTCAGCTCTTCGCCTTCTATCTCTCACCGAGAGAGACTCATCGCTCGCCGGAACGCATGAACGTAAAATTACGTTACGTTCAAATGAAGAAATATAACAAGCTTAAAAAGATAACGCACGGGTGAAGTGTTAATAAGAAAGAAAGGTAACATTTTATACAAAAGAAATCTCTTTATTTCATTGGGACGAAGGCAAAGCAAAACTTAAATAATGTTTTATTTAAGAAAAAAAGGAAAAATTGAATATTGAGAAAGAACGAAATCTGTCTCAGAAGACCGCTTCGCCTACGATTGTTTATGATACGTGGTTTTTCCGTGGAATTTTAGGCGAATGCCGAGACGAGGATTAGGGAGTCTGTTTTTTTAATGGTTGGATCCTCCCCTTTTCCGAAAATTCAAGAGACAAGAACCCAAGACATAAGAGGAAGATCTGGGAGATCCTGTGAGTTCAATAAGATTCGTGATATACTGCTCAAAATCTTGTGACAGCAGTCCAGGTTAGAGCAAAGCAGCACGAAAAGGAATCCGTGACCGGAATGACTTCAGTTGTTGGGACAACTCGAGAGAGATAGGGGCAGTTGCGACTGCGTCTTCGTGTCCCGAATTCGGATGCTTTGTCAACTGAACGAGGTAAAGTTGATTGAAATAGAAACGAAGATCGATCGAAAGAATTTCGTTGAATTGAAAACTGTTTGTTAACAGATTGTATCGATTGCAAATAAAGTTCCTTTTATAGAAACGTATTTATTCATTGCGTGAGTATCACGAAAGCGTATCTTCGGGAAAGTTACGATTCACTCGGCAGACGCAACAATATTTATTGTAAACGTGATCTTGTGACTAATAATGTTGGTTTCTTTATATCACTTTTGCAATGTAGCACGTTCTTTTATGAGGGCACAGGCAAGACTTCTATTCGTCCTTGCAATGAAACAAACAACTGGATATTGACATTCTTGTACACGATCTCAACATTACTAAATTTATTTAGGACACGATACCGAATCCCGTATCTATTCGTTTTTTAAAATTCACAATTAAAAGTTAACAGTTATAAAAGACTCCGCGTTTCTGGTAGAGGGTTAAAAAGCTGTCATTCTACTTATTTGCTATTATTGCATTTCTAGTTGGACCATCATCAGGGAGTAAACTGTCATCATCGTCTCCTCCAGCAGTACATGATAATGGTGGACATCAAACAACTATCAACAACTCTTTGCAATGGCCGAGTCCTCACACTGTACATGACATTCTGGCTAATAGTTGTAATGTACAGAACTCGTCGTCTTCTTCACCAACTTCGTCATTATGCTCCACGATCAATAATAATCATCATTACAACCGTCGTGATGACAATTCTGTTAACAATGATAATAACAGTAATAATGAAAATAATAATGATCATAGAATATCGGGCGGTTATCTTCACCATCATCATCCTCATCTAGCACATCATCAACAGTATTACGCATCAGCGTTGTATCACCATCACCATCATCGTACAGATGCTATGACAGCAGCCACTATATCATCTACACTTTCTGTACAAGCTATTATGTTGCAGTCAGGAACAACAAACCATCCAGCCAGCCCTTGCAATTAGACAAAATAACATTATTTTATGAATGAGAAATGATCCAATAATTAACATTTTCGTTTTCTGTATGTTATTAAGTTTTTTAAATATATTTTTACGCCTTACAGTACTAAAAAAAAGACTTTTGTATTAAAATATATTTTAAGTAAAAATGATAAATGATATAGAGTCGTTATGGGTGACAGAAGAGACATTTCAATATTTGAAAAATGAACTTTGAAATTATTTTTATCAAACATAAAAAGTAATATTATGTTTCTTTATATAAAAAAGAAATTTCCATAGATCTGTAAAAACAATAAATGTATAAAATTTTTATTTAAGGACAAAGCTATCAAAAACTTAGATTATGGAAGTTTATGCTTATGTTTAAATATTATTCCTTAATAATAATTTGATTATTAGTTTCCTATCCCATTTAGAAATTATAAGTGACTTATTAATAATAATTATTAATATTCTGCAATAAGTTACATCAATTTTTCATTTTTTAATTTTACGTGAGAATTACAGATATACTATAGTAAATTTACTATGCAGGGTATGATAAGACTGCTCAAAGATCGCTACGCATCGCTTAAAAGTATGGGTAATTCTTTCGAATAGGGGACTCCGCTCCTACGACCTTGACCTTGACATATGTTGTCAAGCAACAAGTTTTAGCCGTCGCTCGTCCTTCGTTAAAAAGTTATTGACAAAAGAAGTTTGAAAAATAACGTATTGTTTTTGCTATATATGCAATATTAAATACTATTCTATATAGGTTTGACTTTCAGGGGCGCACGACTCTCACCACCGACTCTCACCTCCCCTCCCCCCTGCTTCAGGGGCGTACACTTTCTGGATCCACAAAATTAATTGTCTCCATGCAGGGGGGAGGTGGGATGAGAGTTCAAATCTTTGTTTTATATCGTAGAAAAGAAACATCATTTTTCAAAATTTTTGTATTAATAACTTTTTAATGAAGGACGGGTGACGGCTAAAACTTGGTGGAGTTTACTCAGGATCATGACCTTGATAACATATGTCAAGATCAAGGTCATAGGAGGGGGGTCCCCTATTATATAGTTTTACCTAAGTATGCATTGAATTTTATAGCGCATCTATTACATTGCAACAGCTGTAACTCACACAGAACGTGCCTATAGTTAGTTATCCTATCTCTAAAAGATAGTTAATATCGTTGCAATAAAGAAGATATATTAAATTTTGTAATTTTTACCATTTTATTATTGTACTTATCACGAATAAATTGATCGGTTTTTACATTAAATTGTTGCGTTATAAATTTGTGTCATCTATATTGCGTGGCCGCATTAAGATTTCTATCGCTCTTGAGCACTTAAATCATTGCCATTCCTACCCAAGTAACACAACTAAGTTACGATAACATCAAAATGATGTCAAAACGACATCATTTTGACATCATTTTGACGTCATTATGATGTTATCGTGACTTGTGTTACTTGGATATTCAATCCTCAAATTGAGATATCCCAAGCCTATGTTTGCGATAACAAAAATAAGGGATTTTTTGTAAGGATTTTACTAGTTCAGTTCAATTACAATAATGTTTTTATATATACACTTAGAAGTTGCAAAATTATATACATTTTATTTACTACAATAGAACTTTACATGCTTTTTTAATAGCAAATTTATTTACAAACCTACTAATTCCATTCTATGTATACTTCGTATCGATAGTACGATAAAAGGCGGCATGATCCTTCTCGGATTTCTCTCTGGTAGAATAAAATCGACAAGAAAATCGCAAAACCTTGACTCAAATATAATAATCATCGATCCAAGAACAATTTTCTAAATCATTTGCGTTTGGCAAAAATGACTATTTTTTAGAAATTAAAAAAAAATGCTGCCCCCTAAACTTGTCGCCCCTAGACACAGATTAGCCTCTAGTGCCAATCTAGCCCTGATTGTGTGCATACACATTTCTGCTTCATATTTATAACGAATTCGGTGGATAGAACTAATGCGCACTGATACATGTTAAAGCTTTTGAACAATAATTTGTTGATTGTAAAAGTAAAATACCAGTATTTCGAATTATAAAATACTTTTTCTATCTAGTGCAATAAAATGTACTGATGATTTTACGGTTTAACCCGTTTTATATTAATATATTAAATACATATTTTTACATCAATTTGTGTAACGGTTGCTTTAATGTGCACCAGTGCGTCCAATCGAATCACTATTAGTGAAATATTCACTTAGGCTGCGTTCCGTTACACCCATAATGCGCATGATGTATCATTGTATCTTTGTTTAACACTCTGCAAACAACAAGGATAAAATGATACTTCATGTGCATTATGCGTGCAACGGAACGCAGCCTTAATATCTGTAATAGTTATACGATTATATTAAAAGTGAAAAGTGACGTGTTGACTTAAAAGTACTGACTTGAAAACTTGATCTGACTCATAGAAAATAGTGATAGGTTGCCGAAATTTCACTTTTTACTTAAAAACTTATAACTCAGAAATTATGAAGAATATTTTTAAGTTTTTTTACAGCACAATAAATTACACTCTTTTCCTTTTTTTATATAATTTTTTCATAATTTTTTTGGGCTATTATAACGTTTAAAATAAAGATTTTTTCAATATGGTGCGATTTTGGCAACGAATTTTCTCGTTGCCAAAAAAAAATCGCACCATACTAATATTCCTCATTTAAAACATTATGATAATGCAAAAAATTTAAAAATTACATAAGGAAGGAAAAATTGTATTTTATTATGCTGTTAAAAACTTAAGAATATATTTTTCATAATTACTGAAACACATAATAATTTCAAAAAGTAATTTTAAGAATTTCTATGTGAAACAAAACAAACACATAGATTTTACAATATACGTTTTTACATCATAATGAATGGAATAAAAATGTAAGAAATGGAAAAATATTAGGTAACGTGCGATTTAGGAAGTTAGATTGTGCGGTTTAGGAAATTACATTATGGTGCGATTTAGAAACTAGAGCATTTTTTAAACTTTTATTTATTTTATCTATTAAAAAAATGTAAAGTAAACTTTAATTCTATTAATTTAATTTTAATGATATTCATTATATTTAATGATTTAATTAAATGTTACGCCTGCTTCGCACGATCTCACTCGCGAGCGCGACGCGCACTTCCGAGCCGCGGAAAGGATTGGACACAGAGGTTAGTTAAAAAGGAACAACGGTCTTTATTGCTGAGGTCGATACAGCTCGTGGATAACACGAGATACGTTGAAACAATAACTCTCGTAAAGCGATGGAGAGAACACGTCCGAAAGCGTCGACGTCTCTCCAAGATCTGCCGAATGTTCTCCATCAACAACGGTGCGTCCCCTTGACAACGCGACACCCGAATCGGCAAGGCGTAGCAGGCGGCGGCGTAACAATATTCTCATCACGACTAATGGTCAAGACTTAGGCTACTTAACTTATATTTTCTGTAATTTTGCTATAAAATACGTTGAAAAATAGTAATGCTCTATCACGATTTTTTTATTTATGTAAATAACAATACTCCTACATGCACTTCATGTTACGGACAAATCAATAAGTACCCGTGTTAGTAATGGAGACGCAAGCTTTTCACAAAAATTTTTTTATTTTTCAACGTAATCTCCTTTTAGGAGGATACACTTTTCCCAACGTTTCTATCATTTTTTTAACCCCTCAGAAAAATACGATTTGTCGAACTCTGCAAAATAGGCCTTTGTTTCGGCGATGACCTCCTCAATCGACTGTTGCTTAATCTCCGGTGTGTAGTAATGAATCCATGTTTCATCAACGGTTAGGACTCGACGCAAAAACTCGTTCGGATTGCGCTTGAACAGCTCCAAACACTGCTTTGAAATTGATAACCGCATCCGCTTGTTGTCCACCGTAAGCAATCGCGGCACCCATCGGGCCGACAGCTTTTCATTCCCAAATTATCATGCAAAATATTGAATGCCGTTCCGTACGACACGCTTACAGCCTCTGCTACTTTATGCACTTTCGTTCGGCGAACAGCGAGAATCATGTCGTGGACTTTTTCAACGATTTCCTCAGTAACCACGTCTGCCGGGCGGCATGGGCGCGCCTCATCAAAAACAGACGAACGACCACGTTTGAATTCGTTGAACCAATATCTGACGGTTGTCATAGATGGTGAAGAGTTCCCATAGACGGCATCCAACTTCGTTTTTATTCCTTCGTACACTTTCCATCCAAAAATAAGAAATGAATTACGGATCGATATTGCTCTTTTTCCATTGTATCGGAAAACATTAAACACGCTCATTACGAATTGCTGTCAAATCAAGACTATTGCATGAATCACTCTGAAATTTTATATGATGTCGTTTGAAAGATGGTAGTACACGATGGTAATGCCAACTTGCATCAGCAACGCCGTCTGTCTTGAAACACGAGTACTTATTGATTTACCCTCGTATAACAGAGTAGCATTACAATACTATGTAGGTCTTAAATAACCCGTAAGAAAGTATATGATATAAATACAATAATTGAATTTTTAAGCGAGGTAGGGCGATTAAGAACTGGTGCGATTTCGACAACTTTACCCTACAATAGATAATGATAACGATGATATATATAGAGTAAAAATATTTTGTAATGATTTGTATTCTGAATCTCTGGTAAAAATGAGATCTAATGCTAAAGCTATTGGTTCTAGATCTATATCAATTACGCTGTAATTGACCATTGGCCGAAAAAAAATTTACCTATGTAAATTCTGCATATAAAAAATACTTTCGATATTTACGATGATTTATATTTAATTAAAAATAAGTACCTAGCTTCTTACTTTAATCAACATTGTTTCTACAACAAGCGACTTTTTTAAAATAATGCGTACTTACTCTTGAAAACGCTGCCATATGGAAAGGGACCATAGGCCGGTTTCGATTTTATGCGCAACTTCGAAGTTTCTTGGACATATAATGGCATACCAGATCTCTGGGTATCTTGAGGCCTCT